ATAAGAAACCACTTCATCAGATAAGATCAACCCCCTCCACCCCATTTCTGGGTTTCAGCAGAGACCTGAGGCGCTGAGGTTGACGAAATCTTGGAACTGAACGTCGGCCTGAGGCCCAGAGCACGCAGAAGGCTTTTATTTCACTTTCTTTTGTTTAATATTACTTTATTTTCAAAGAGATCTGTAGCCCTGGGCTCTGGCAGGCAAAGCCCTGTCCTGAGGATGGCCTGCTGGGTCTCTACCTCCGTCCGCAGGCTTCCCCTCCCCCCTCCGTCCCGCGCCCGCACACAGAGAGGTGTAGGCTGTCTAGGAGACGGGCGGTCAACCAAACGCAGCCATCAGCGAGAAGTGACACCCGAGAAAGCCCTGCCTCTCCATCCTGAAATATAGGGAAGGATGTCATCAAATCCTTCTTTTTTCCCCCCTTGTGCAGGAGTCAACCCTGCCTTGACACCTAGTTGCCTGGGCTGTTGACGGAGGCAGAGCAGGAGTACTGGGCTGCCACTAGACTGAGTTCCGAGCCACACTCGAAACCGTGCCCCACAGTTCCACCGGAGACAGTAAGGAGGGTTCTAGGTATTATCACCTCAAAGAGACTAGCAGAAAGGCTCCAGCTCCTGACCGTGTGCGCTGTGACTCCCTGAAAGAAGCAAAAGAAACTCTTCTAAATCTTGAACAAGAAAGCTTTGGCCAAGACTCTAAGGAAATAGCACCAAGACTTAATTTTGGTACAACAGCCTCCAGCACTACGGGGCAATTTTCTAAGTTGCTAGAATGGGGAATTGGGGGGTGTGGACAGGGGGCGGGCAGCGGAGCAAACAGCAAAACAAAGCAAAGCAAAAACCTAGTCTGGGTGCAAAGAAGATAGTAAGGCGAAGAAAAAGACAGGGAGAGAAAACCCCATGAAACCTTAAACATTTTGACCAGAACATTAGGAGAACCGAATGGGGCGGGGGAGATTCATTAAAATCACAGGCTTCTCCCCACCTTCCCCAACAGGAACAGGTTGGGGAACAACTAATTAGTCTTAACTTCATTTAGCCTCATTTTAAGAAGAGGAAGAAAGACCATCGTGCAACCCTATCACCCCAAAGTAAATATCTTCTCCATACAGCCACTGGATGCTTTTAAAAGCATGTTTTAAAGCAAAAGGAGGCTAGATGGTTCTAATAGGCATTCTTCAGCTAAGCAGCTTAAGTTCCAAATATCTCCTGCTTTCCGCAATTGCTACAGTGCATCGCCACAAAAAGAGGAGCTGTGATTTTTTTTTAGAGCAATTAAGTCAAATTAGCTACTTTAATGGGGGTATTTTCTTTCTTGCAGGGCTCCCTTGGCCCTCAAACAAAATCTAAAACTAACATTTACATAAAGCATAAAATATTCCGAGCAAAAATGAAGATTTTGCATTCGGAACACAATAAATTCTACTTTCCATCCTTTCCAATAGAAAAATCAACAATGAAAAGGTCTCCCTGGGTGTGTGTGGGGGTGTGTGCAGGAGAAAAGAGGAGATGACAACTTTGAAGCCCAGCATAAAATCTCCACGGTTTCATCTGCTAAAAGTCTAAAGAGGTAAACCAGATATGTGTTTACAGAGGTATTTCCAACAGTTCATTTTAAAAACATCTCCTCTAGAATTATCGTTTATCGGGTTAAATTAAAATACAATGGTTTGGGAGGACGGGAGGAGGATGTTTTTAACTCCCTCTGAAAAATCTGCTGCCAGAGATTCCTTTCCTTGTCTTTTCAGACCTGCTTCCCTGAGTCCAGCCCGTCTCTTGCACGTCAGTGGGCTTGCTTACATTAACTGCAGTTCGCTGGGGGTTTATAAATCAATCAGTGGGGAGTCTATATTCATAAAGACTCTGATCTGGTTACACCCCTCCCTCTCTCAACTCAAAAAAACAAAAAGTTATACCTTCCAGCCCGGACCCCTTCTAGCTCAGATCTGTGGTGGGTGGTGGACAGACTGAGGCTTGGGGAACTGGGGGACAGGCGTCGGAGTCTCGTGAGTTTGGATGTGGATTGCAGGACAGACCTTTGTTTTGGTCACCGCGGTGACAGGGGGTGGAGAAGATTGTTCTCTTTCCTGAACACAGGAGTTTTATAGACACTCCTTAAAAGGGTTCGCGGCTCTCCACGGGTGAATTTATAGGGCTTTCGAGGAATATTGGGACTTTAAAGATACCATTTTTCCCCATTGATTTTTTTGGTGGTGTTCTTACACGCCTAAGAGGACTCCGGGTTTCAACGTCCTGGGGAGTTCTGGGGAGGGAAAAACCAGGTCAGGGAAAAGCAGATTCCTTTTCTGACCAGGGTGGCTGTGGTAGTAGGGCTTGGCATCTTATTTTCCATACATTTATAAATAAGTAAGTTGTGGGCATTACATCTGAGATTTGAGAACTTGGAGGTGATGAGGATGAAAGTGTGCTGTATACACCTTTCTCTCAGCCTCCACCAACCTGAATCCCGTATTAGAAGAATGGCGAGCATGGAGACCCAAAGAAGATTTAAAATTTTTTTTAATAAAATAAAAGCCTAGTTTTAATGTAGCCATCAAGGTGGGCGAAGGTTCCAGTGTGTAGCAAGTGGGCGAGGAGGACCTGAAGACTACCCCACTGCGGGTCCAAGCAAGGCCTCCTTCGCTTTACGCCCCGTTGCTCTGGCTCTCCCTGAGGTGCCTCGCTGGGCACCCAGGCCACCGAAGCCTGGGTCTCCCGCTATGCGCTCGCCATGTTTGAACCCACGCGGGGGAGGTTGATCTTCATACTATAGATTACCTTAAAGTTTTCTTTAAGCGCTTTAATACACAACTAGCTCAGAAATCATTAAGAGACATAGAGAAGGAGAAAAAATACCCCCACACTCACCGTAATAAGTGTTGACATGCAGCAAAAATCGATTGAGTGGAACTGAGGTGGTGGAGGTGGCGATGGCTGGGGGGTGAGGGGGAGATCCCCGTAGGAGCGGGAGGGGCGAGGGGGGCGGACTCCACCCGCTTGGGAAGTAGGCTTCTGCGGCTCCAGGAGAGAGAGGAGCTGCCTGGAGGGTGAGTAGCTTGTGAGTCCTGGACGAAACCGAGAACGCAGCTGAGATGGTTGAGACAGGGCCTATCTTCTGTCCCAAGTCTCCGCCCCCAGTCTGAACCTCTAAAGTCGGGGAAGTGATAACTCATTTATTTATTTATTTATTTATTTATTTTTATTTTGATTTCCTCTAACAGAATTCTAGTTGAGCCAACAAACTAGGCCGAGACTCACCTCTTTAAACGTGCTCCCTCACGTCACCCTGGGTTAGAACTGCCGGAGAAGTAAACCGGTCAGCTGCCCTTCCAGGCAGGATCCCCAACTCTTTCACCCAGTCTGCTCCCCCCCACCCCCAGCTCTCCCCTAACCACGGCGAGGCGCAAGGAGGCAGGGACTGGCTCCTCCTGCCCCCTCCCTTCCCTGTTTCAGAAGGCAAAGTCCGCCTTGGGTGACCGCTTTCCTCTCCACTGCTCTCAAGAGAACAAGGACGGAGGTGACCCTCGACCGAAGGCCTTCTATCTGCCCCCCACCGCCGCGTGATCCCGGCACACGGACAGGGGCAAAGCTTTAAAAAGAAAGAAAGAAGAAAGTTAATGTTCACGGGGCACTTGATCTTAAATTGGGGATATTATCTGCGGCCTGTTTAAGTGGCAGCGGCAGATCTTCGCAGAACAAAGACTCGGTGTCTGAGCTCCGAAAGCTCCTAGGTAGAGTTTCGGTGAGATGAAAAGAACTTAAGCGTAAAAAACACCGGCTTTCTCGGCTTCGGAGAACCGGAGGCCACTTTTAATACGAGTTCCCTGGCTGCTGTTTGTCCTAGCATACTTAGTGGGGGGTTGAGTGGGGTGGGGGCAAGAATAACAAAAGGTCTCAGCACACCCTCTGGTGACCCTCCCAGCGCCTAGGCCGAGAAGTCTTCTGGTTGGAGTAAGCCTTTTTTGCAGCTATTGGTTACAAAATCAAATTTCACGTTGAACAAAAAGGAGCTAAAAAACGCAGCAGCGCTGGAAGGGAGGAGGCCGGGGCTTAAAAGTTCTTTCCGACACTCACATGGACCCCAGTCCCTGTTTAGATGTCAGAGGATGGGGGAGGGCCCAAGCTGTAATTCATCTTGATTTGCTTCATTGTCCTGCAGTTTGCAAACTATAATCCTGTATAATTTCAGGAACAAGCAGGTTTAGAATTAATGGGTCAATATTATTTAAAACAAAACACAGGGATCATGACCTTTGCCTCAACTACATATTGCTCTACAAGACTCAGGAAACTCCACTCTCACCCTCCGACCCCTGGGTTCTTTGACACACTGAAATGGCTGGAGTTATTAGAAATAGTCTTTGTTTCTTTTAATGTCTCCAAAGGACTTGGAAATAGTAATACAATATAAATGAAGGATCTCTCTACTTAAGCCGCAGAGATAAACGTGGAGGCCTAAATATTTTGAACTGAAGGTGTTTCCTTGTGAATTTATTATAGATGTGTTCCTTCTAAGAAGTTTATGTATATAAACTGTGCATGTGCCCACTCCCGTATTTCTCCGGAACAGTTTACTGGAGGTGTGGTTTCCCCTCTGACTGAGTAAGCTAGGAATCATTCCAAGCTGCTTGAGGTACTTCAAAATTTCTTTCACCTTTCTGCCTTCTCTGGTATTATTTGCTAACGACAATGGCATTTTATGGATTTAGGCCAAAGAAAAATCCAAGGCACACAGCAAGTTGCAGCCTCCCCACCTCCCCAGTGCCCCTCTTTCCCTCTTTTAGTTTCTGAGAAATGGCTAGACCTACGTCTAACTGAATTTAAATACTGCCTGTCTGTTTGACTAGGCAGGCAGAGGAAACTGGTTTGTTTAGGAGGCAGTGACTGAGGCACCCTGGCCAGGTGACAGAGAAAGGGAGAAAGAATCCAGACCAATTTGTATGCAGTATATTTTACTCCCAAGAAATAAAACACATTTTTTTCATATTTGCTGAAAAGTAAAACGATAATATCGTACGAAATGTTATACACAGGATAGTTGTACATAGCAGTTTCAGAAACAATGCATCCACCAGAGAAACTATTCTAAAACTTATATTCACACATTTTTATAATAATAATATGTTAGAAACATACAGTGTGGCATTTAGTATATACATTCCTTTGCTCGCAAGCGAAAAATTCTAGCCGATTCTGTATAACATGCTTTCTTTTAGAGTCTAGACTTTAAAAACACTGTCGTGATAGTACTAACAACTGCTTTTATAAAATTAATTTGACATTTCGATATATACATCCTTTCAGTCATTTTAATGTTAACAATGCTAAACTTAAAAAATAACAAGCTTATAGTAATGTTAAAATGTCATATCCAGTCAAACATTTGTTGGTGTACGCGGTCTCAACTGTTGGAAATACTTTTAGCGAAAGATGTCAGACACTTGGGGGCGTTCCTTTGAAATCAAAGGCGCTCTCTTTGAAAATTCAGTGGTTTCTTCTTTTTCTCCGAGATCTTCTTTCTCCTCTTCCTTTCCGTAGTGCGCACGACCTTCTAGCTCAATTCTCAGTCTTTCTGGGGCAGAGTTGCCCCCTCCGACAGTCCTCGGATCCCCGCGCGCTGGGCGCGGTTCACACCGGCCGGTCGACTGCGTACTGGCAAGCACTCAGGTTGGAGGCCGGGTTCTGCACGCTGGCGTAGCCGAAGCTGGAGTGCTGCTTTGCTTTGAGTCTCAGGCTGGCCAGGCTCGAGTTACAAGTGTCCCTATAAACGTACGGAGGAGTCGGCGGTGCGTAAGGACAAGCGGGCGTCGGCACCGCGGAATTCAGCGACGGGCTGCTCAGGTTGTTCAAGTTATTCAGGCTATTGAGGCTGGAGCCCGGAACGCCGGTCACCGCCGAGGGCACCATGCTGGACGACATACTCATGGATGAGATGGAGTTGGGCGGGGAGAACATGCTCTGCGACGACAGGGGGTTGACGTTCATAGAGTTGAAGAAGGGGAAGCTCTTGGTGGACAGGGATGCCGACGTGAGGCCCTTGGCGGCCCAGTTGTTGTAGGAGTAGCCAGGGTACATGTCGTCGTAAGGCTGCATGAGCCCATTGAACTGCGGCCCGAAGCCATTCTTGCACAGCTCAGCCTGCTGGTTGCGTTCCCGTTTTCTCCATTTGGCTCGGCGATTCTTGAACCAAACCTGTGGTGGTGGGGACAAGCGATGAGACAGTGGATACAATTAGTTCAAAACTCATACAAAGTACCAGAAGCCAACCCGGGTCACACTATTGCTGCCCCGTGTCCCTGCAGGCTACCACGGCCCTGCAAGCCACTGAGAACAGTGGAAACAATGCATTGGTGCTTATTCCTGGCCTGGGTAAAGCTCTGAGGCCTAGTTCGCTCCAGCTGTATCACAAAGTCCTGTAGGAAGCCTAAAAAGGGCCTATGGGTCGCTTGATCCCCCACGTCCCCAACGTAGGCCCTATTTAGGGTCCAAACACACTGTAAAACAAACGGGACCCTTACCGGACCTTGCAAACTTGCTTCCCCATTCCAAAGCTACAGATTCAGTGATGAGGACCCGAGGGACTAGGAGGGCACCCACTCTCCTCCCACACAGCCCCTCCCTTCCCTTCAGTACCTCCACTCTCCTCCCCCCGCCCCCCAACGGATGCGACACCCTTCCTCTCCTAGAAAAACAACCAAATAAAAGGCAAAAGACCACCTACTTGTCTGCTCGTTAAATTTCAGGAGCTAGGCAAACTGGGAATTCTGAAACAGCTTGTCCCGTATCCTCCCTTTTTCTGCATTGTACCACGGCGCTCCCACCCAGGCCTCGCTAGCGCTAGCTATGGACTCAGCTCTGGACAGGACTAGTGCAGACTTTTGGCTTTGCGGGAGGCTATTCAAGCTGGTCAGCCCCCAACCCGCGTCTGGTGGCCCCGCCACAACCCCTCTTCCAATCCACACCGGGCCCCCGCCAGTCGCCCCAGACAGCGGCTTTTGTGTATTGGAGCAAGGCCTGGCCCAGCAGCCCAGAGCTGACACTGGTGATGTTTTACATTACACATCCCTGTCGCGCCCAGCCGTCTAATCCGCTTTTTCCCCCCCTTTTCCTTTCATTCTTGATTTCCTTTTTTCTCCCCCTTCCTCTTGCTATAAAAAGCAAGCCTCACGCACTAGGCGGAACAAGTAAGCTCCCGAAAGGCGGCTACTGGAGCGAGCACCCAGCAGCAGAGGAACAGGGCCGCAGAAAGTCGGGTGGGGTGAGAGGCCTCTCCCCGGGGATTTCAGGGAAAGACAAATTGTGTCTTTATTTTAATTACTTGTCTCTTGTTCTCCAGGACTTCTAAACTTTGACCAGGCGAGAAGAATACGTGCAAGGCCCGTCGTTCCCTGATGCTAAAGAGAGCTAAAGACTGACCTTGCTCAAAACCACGCGGCCCCAACGCGAGCGCTGGCTCCCGGCAGTTAAACTAAAACCCACGTCTTCCCGGCTCCTTTATCAGCCGGCGTAGTCTAGCCTGTAGCAGGGCTGCACTGAAAGTGCTTAACTTCCCTCCGCTTTTGGGAATACACTTTGGTTTTTATTTTCGTTGTTGTCTAATATTCTCTTTCTTTTTGCTCCAGTCCCCTTTGTTTTCTTTCCTCTACACAGACCGCGTTGCGTTTTATAAAAACAGCGATCTCTGTAGAGTCTGCTGGGTTCTGTTTTCCTCTTTCAGAATCCTAACAATTTTGGAAATTCCCACCAACCGGCGTTAAACAAGGATACTGCTACTTGGTAATTTATTTAAACATTCATTTTTTTTTCGCCAGTCCGTAAAGGGGCAGATTTGCTACAGAGTAGAGGTAAGTCCTCTTTATAAATCTATAACTATAATTACCGAGGGGTGTGAGTACAGTCTTCAAAGAGCTGAACTCCCCCGAGAAGATAAATAAACCAAATTAAAACGTCTTTCTTCTCCTTTCTTCCTAAAAGTGCTAGTAGAAAAGTCATTACTTCCAAGGATTACAAAACTAGGTAGTAGGGAGTGATAGAAGTCTGAATGGCTGAAAAACCCGCTCTTGAAAAGACCTGCGAGCAACTCTTGCTAGCTGAAGGGAGAAAAAGGCTGGTCCGGGCTGGGCGCGAAGGTTCCCCATTGAGGCCAACCCTTGCGTGTTTCTGGAGGGTTTTCTTGTTCTAGGCGCACAGGTTGGAGCCTGTTCACAGCTCCTGGCGGGGAGGGATTTTATTGGCGCTCGTCTGGCGACGGCAAGCCGGGAACACAATGCCCTTTGCTGAGGAATGCCCGCGCGGCTCAGCTTGGGAGGGCGCCTGATGGCCGGGCAGAGAACGGGCGAGGCTGTTGGCGCCTGCGCCAGGCAAGCCGCTTTGCCTGGGAACCGGGAGTAGTAACCCTGGGCACACTTGCCGCCTGGAGGCCTTGGGCCTTTTCTGGTAAAATTGCTTCCCACTAGTGCCCAGAGGGCGAAACTCCCTTTTCACCCACCATTCCTACCGCCACCCCCGATCTTCAGGATCTGAACCTTGGTAAGGCCTCCCCTCTAGTTTCCCCAGACTGGGTACTGTCTCCTACCCGAACTCGGGCTTCCGTCAGGTTGGTCCACACAGCAATTTCTTCGCGAGTGGACATGTCTGGGTAGCGGTTTCTCTGGAAAGTGGCTTCCAGCTCCTGCAGCTGCTGGCTAGTGAAATGAGTCCTCTGCCGGCGTTGCCGCTTCTTCTTGGAAGGATCTTCGGCGCCCACGTCTTCATTCTTCCCCTGCTGGCCCTTATCTTTCTCTGAAAAAACAAAACAAAAAGAAACACGTACCGTTTCGGTCAGATTCCCACTTGCAAAATGGGAGCTCGAAACTGGATCGGGAGACAGAGGCGGCGCGAAGAGCCTGGTTGCAGAAGGGGGACTGGACTGTGCGCGGCGGCTCAGTAACATCAGGGAGCACTGTGTCTGGGGGTGAGCAGTGGAAGTGTGGGTGTGTGCGCCCCGTTTCCTCCCCTCCCCCAGCGCCGCACGTTTTATTTACGCGTTTATCTCACTGAGGCGGTACATTCATTTTTTATAGCCTTTACTCACAAGCAAACAGCCCTCCTGAGAAGACACATCTTTCACGACACGTACATATACGTGTTTTACAGATAACACGCAGACACCTCTCCCCCCCCCCCCAACCCTCAGATTTCCTTACGGTTTGGAAGGCTAGGAAAGTGGATGTTGGGATACAGGTAGGAAAGCAAGTTGGCCAGCTTTTCAAGGGTTAGGGAGATATGTCAAAGACCTTTCTAAGTTTTAGAGATACTTTTTTAAAGGAGTGAGACTCTTTGGGAGATAAAAGTCAACAAGAAACTAGGGATAGAGGTGGGGCGGCCTCTGAACGCCCTTGGATGGAAATGCTGAGGCATTTGTGACCTAAGAAACTGAAGGAAGGTCAAGGTAGACACGGTAGCGTGTGCAGGATTACACGCGCGCCACAGGAACCAAGTCGATGAGGACAGAATGAAAGGGACAGGGTCACTAGAATCCGGGCTCCCGGAAGTTCTGCGTAGAGCTAACTGAGCGACCACTCCCACCACGCCTCCCCCAGGAGGGGGCGACTTCCTTGGGGAGCAAGAGGACCAGGAGGCACCCGGGAGCTGGGCTCAAGTGTCGGTGGTACAGCGCGGCGCCTTACCTGAGGCTTCAGGGCTGGAAGTATCGGAGATTGTATGCACCTCCAGTCGGTGTTTAGAGGAGTCCAGGGAGCGGGGCTGACCAGGGGCCAGGACCGAAGCCATGGCTAACGCCTGGGGATGGTGACAGAAGGGTGAGGAGGCGGCCGACAGCTTAGTCCCGGCTGCTCGGTGCTCCAAGGGCAGCGGGCCTTTCCTGCAGTTCATGGACGAGGGAGTGCGGCGCCCTAGGAGTCCAGGGCTACGGCCGGCCGAGCCCCGGTGGCCGCGAGTTCTGGGTAGCACTCTATGCGCCGAGTGTCCCCGTGTTAGCAGAGACGGTAGAGCAAGGGGACGCAACCCCTGCTGAATCCTCGAGCCAAATTCCCCCGGTCTTCTCTAGCTGCAGGCTCCAGCCAAAAGTGTTCGGCAGCCTTAAGTCAGGGGGCCAACGGAGACTTGGGGACGTGGGCAGGAGGGAACCGCTTCGAGCCTCTTTAGGGAGCCGACTTCCACGATCCAAAGCGAAACAAGAATGGGCAAAGACCCTTTTCTTGCCTCCCTCCCTCCCCCAGATACCCCTCCAATAAGGACAGTTACGGGCGCGCTCTGCCCGCCCCCCGCGCTGCAGCCCTGACAGCGATGTGTCAAGAGTGACAGGGACAGGTAGCTGATATTAGATCCCCCGCGGCGGCTGCAGCCGCCACGGCCACTGCGCTGGCCTCTGAGCACACCCTCCGCGGCGCGCACGCACACCCCCTTGGGCCGTCTAGCTGGAGCCGGGCCCCACCGCAGCTCAGCTCCAGACACCCCGGCGAGCGACGGGCAAGATCTGCGGCTCCGCGCTTCCCTGTTGGCCTAACATCTTAAAACCAGAGGCGGGCTTCCTGGTGGCGAGACGTCACTCTGCGGCGGCCCTCCCCAGCTCTCCCCGCCTCCGCCTCCTCCCAGACCCTTCTCGGGGTCGGAGTGACGTGGCTCCACACCAATCGCGAGGCCCCGAGCCACGGCAGAGGGATGGTTCTGTCTGCACCTATCAGCAGCGCGAGGCCCAACTAATTCCTAGCTGTGCCCACCCGGGCTACACAGGCGCACTCCTGGGAATTCTGCTCCCGCCCGGCCAAAGGCAACCCGGCTTTTGGTTAAAGGTCCCCAGAGAGAGGAGGCTTGGTGGTCGGAGAGGTGGGAAATAAAGAAGGAAAGTCGAGGACCGATAGGTATATGGTTCTGCAAGCACCCCTTTGCCTTCCTTTTGTGTCTCACTGCATCCATTTCTACACCAGAGTTCCCCCGACACCCCGGGCCAGGACAGATGTGCTACCTAAAGCTATGAAGTTATAAAATCAGCAAATCATTTTATAACTTAATTCCGCCCCCACCCCAGTCGCCTGTCAGGTGAATATCGTGTTAATCTAAGGAAACTTTAATTGCAAAGAAGACAGTCTTGAAAAAGCAGGCTAATAAATTAGAGATCGAGAAGAAAATGGACCCGTCAAAAGGAAATTACCTTGACTTTAGTCGAATAACTGCTTGGTGGCTCACTCTGGATTTATACATGAATAAAAAAGTCGCCTCAAATCACGTCCTCGGTAATGCTTATTAGTCCCCAGACAGAAAACTCACAATAGAGGAGAAACCCTAACCCAGAGCTTTCGAAATGCTGAGAGCTTATCCATTCTACTTAACGTTGATTAAGACACATCCTAGATCTTTCGCATTCCTCGTACACTGTATTAAGTTCGTCCTAGCCAGAGAGAGCTATGCTTTAAATTCGACTCCCTTGTTTACTTTATTATCAATCAGATTCAAATCCAGGCTTTAGCCCGTAGAATCAACAACCTTGAGCTAATTATATAGAAAATATGCCTTAATGAATTTCCATACAATTAAGGACGTTGCCAAATGACCAATTTCAAGGATGATTTTTAACAGTCATTTTCTTTTCCTAGGGAGCTCAAGGCTTTCTTGAATCATTAAAGCGCAAGGAGGCAGAAACAGTAGATTTGTGCCGGGGGCAGGGGTAAAGGGGATGGAGGAGGCGGGGGGCACCAGAGGACTGCCCAGCTAGGACAAGTAAAGTCTTTTTCATTTGTTTAAAAACAAAACAGATCGCTTATGGAACCATCAGCAATGTGCAACATTATTCCAAATGAAAATTTATTCCAAAGGAAATTTTAAATATTTTTTTTCCCAAAATTTTTTGTGGAACTGACTGGGAGAGAGGAGTCTGCTCAGTGTTGAAGCCCTTACCTAGCTCTTAGGAGGTTCGGGGTGTGATCTAGTCGAAACACACACACACACACACACACACACACACACCTTTTGTCTCCTAGTCTAGGTCGGCTGAAGAGCACAAAGTAATCTACCCCTCTCCCCTGGTTTCTGCACTGGTGATTGTTTTACTGTGGAGTTAGTGTTATCATCTCTGAAAGTAATTTGTTTGACGGTACAGTCAATGATTTGCAACGCCGGCATAAGGAAAATTCAGTGAATTCCCTACTAGCCCTTCCTTATTCACAAGGTTGGGGAACTTAGGTTGGCACTAAGCAGGTGAAGCTGACTACAGATATATTTATAACACTTGTCTCTCTTTTACTCCTCCCCCGCACCATGCTCTCAACAACCCTTCCATCTTAAATACCACCCAAAAGACCAATATGAGAATTATTTCCAGTCTCCCCACACCATTGTCAATCCATTCTGAGAATTTGACTGCTAGGAGAAATTTCTTCACAGGCTTTACTCCAGCATTCTTAATTTTTAACCGCGTGTTCTGCCTCACCCTGTTCTATGCCCATAAGCACACATTCATACACCTGCTGGGAGCAGAACACATGCCCTGGTGGCAGGTCTGCATCCACTGGGTCCCATTCATCTAGCTATATTAGGTCCTGCAACCTTATCACTAAATTATACACACTCCGCCAGCAGCCTGTTGGTAAAGAAGGTTAAATTAATTTACATTCTACCCATTATCTGGTGCTTAAATGACGCATTTTATCCCTGAGATTTGGTGGGCCAATCTCCTTCTCAGACCCCACAGTGTTTCACTGAAGACAATGTTCTTACATTTGTAGTGGGTTTTATCTGATAAGACTCTAATTTGCTTAAGTCTTTTAAATAAGGGTTTTAAATGTTTCTAGTCATTTTCTTATTGAATTTCCTCTAATTCCCTCAAGATCATAAAATATATGTGTAAAGTAAATATTTTCTCCCATGTACTTGCTAGGGAATGACCTATAACTAAGTCAATATGAATCTCTCCTGCTCAATATGTTTACTAATCATATTCTAGTTTCTTTTAAACCTCAGCACAACTGTGGGTGTCACAGTATCATAGCCCAGAATGCTTCATTTCAGGATGGACTTCATTGCATCAAAGAATGAAAGAGTCTCTACTTTGATAGGCATACTCTTCTTTGCCTCAAGATATGAATCCTGATGTGTCAGACACAGTGTTATATTTTGCTGGTGTTGATTTGTTTGTTTGTTTTTGAGGCTAGAGACATTTTGCAAAACTTGTTTTTCTGCAGAACTGAGCAGGTGCAAAGAGTCATATATTTAAGATCTTCTCACATTCAAGGCAGAGACTTTCAGCTTAAGCTCTGATCATTCCACTCTTCTGGTAGAACATCCATATGGAAAAACACACAGATGAGGGGGACTTCACAAGACCCCCCCAAATGGATGGAAAACCCAAGGATAAATGGTTGATCCTCACAGTGCCAAATTATGGCAGATTTGGGAAAGATATAGATGTACAGAGAGCCAAGTCTAAAGAGATAAACATTTTAGATTGCATGGAACCATTGAGGTCAAGAGATTAAAGACGACCAAGCAGTAAGCGGAGAATGCTAATCAAGGTTAAAACAGAATCGCATATCACTGAGGTATGTTCATACATACATCTGTGCACACACATGTATGTACATGAGCATACACAAACAACTGATTCAAATACATTTTAAAAAGTATTTTTCACAGTCAGCCGACCCTCTCCTACTCGCTGTATATATGCCAACCTGTCCTGATAGGATGTCAGCCTTCCCAGGACCATGTCAGAGTAGGTTATGGACATGTGTGATGGAGATCAAGGAATGCTTTGCAATGAAGACTCAAGGGTGGTGACCAAGTTT